AGGGCACCATACTGTGGCAGCGCAGGGATATCAAAGGCTTTAATTTTGGTTGTTTTAGCGCGGGGCTATACAACATTGTATGAATTAATGCCATCGTGAAGACACGGCCCGACACTGATATGAATAATGCTGTGTTGATGGGAATACAAACAATTTATGGTGGTCGTAGGTTCTGGGAAACCCCAGCGCCAACAGACAGCGATTGTTAATGATGTCATGTTTTTTTGCACGTTTCCGCCACAAAGGAAATTTCCAAGCGCTTTCCCTCGCCCTCGTTCTCCTTTTCTATTTTTTCTGTTTACCAATTACGATGGCCACTTTTCATTATCGTCGCTAAAATTCAAAAGAAAAAAAAAAAAAAAAACAGCAGTCTTTTATGTAACAACATTAAACGCTTGTTGCTTACATATTCCATTTCCAAGTGGCAAATCAATGCTGTTTTAATACTAATTTTGTTGCCTTCGTATTCCCGCTAAGCGCTGATTATAACATGCTATGTTGCGAGTTGCGACCCCATCCTTTTCCACCGGAAAAAAAAAAAAATTAATAAAAAGAAAAGAGCCCCATCCTCCATCCCCTTAACTAGGGTGTCAGCTAGCCGAGCAAACTCACTCACGAGTTAATTCAGGCTCAGCTCGTTAAATACTTGAATTCGATTCAAACATCACCGAATCAAATCGAGTAGTTAAGTCCGGTTCAAACTTAGTAATTGAACTTTTAATAAAATGTTAATTTTAATATATTTTTATTTATAATACGAATTCAAAGTATTTTTTATAATATAAATAAATAAATTTATAATCAAGTTTTATAATTTATTTTTATTTATCTTATTGATTTACTTATTACTTTTAATGTATAATCAAGTTTTCTAATATATTTTTATTTATAACTTCTAAATATAATTCATTTATAATTTTTAATAAAAATTAATTTATAATTAAATCGAGCCAAGCTAAACTTGAATAACTTACGAGTATTGACTTAAATAGAGTTCAAGTATGAAACTCAAAACTAAATTGAGCTCAAGTCAAATTTTGAATTTTGAACTTTTAAGTTAAAACTCAAACTCAAACCATCCAAAATTTGACTCGACTCGATTCAACTCAATTACACCCTTGTCATAAAACCCTAACAGAACGGGATTTGATCCTAAGTATATCCTACCAACTCAATCCTCACCTCACTTCAAATAAATATAGATCGAAAGAAGAGGAAGTAAAATTGGGGTTTATCTCGCGGGCCCAATGGATCCAAATAAAAATAACTAGGTTGGTTTCCAATGGAAGGAAGATGATAATGGTCATGGAAACACAAGTAGCGACATCAGAGAAGTGGAGCATTGCAAAATGGAAACACAGGCTCAACTCAACAATAAAAGCGGAGAAGAATTGGTTGGAAAGCGCAAGATGATAATGGATTTGTACTACAAGACGATTAAATGCATCTGTATCGAGGAAAATGAAGTGCAAGGCAGTACATGTTGGACACTCAACAAACAAACCACGCCATGCACTCAGGGGTCCTAACTCCCAACTCCTAGACATGCTAGTCCTTCACTCTCTTGATTTCTTCTTCCCTTCTAAACCTTCAAAAAGTAAGAAAAAAGAGTTATGAAGTTACAATAAGCACATCAAATCTGCCTATTAACTAACATTTTACTCTAATTAATGTTTTTGCAAATCCCCAACTTAGTTTCCCAGATATCTCATATCTTGTTTGGAATTTTTCAAACACTGAAATTTGTATTGTCTTAAGCTGATAGATGTTGCAATCTAAATTATTTAGATTAAACCCTTAGAATTTGAATACGGGTTGGTCATTAGTCCTTCCAATTGGTATAAATGAAAGAAAAAATAATAAAACATTAATTTTGCAACTAATTAGTCATGGAAAGAGAATATCATCATCGGTTCCAAGCTTGAATTTTATTTAGGGAGAAATAAGGTTTTCATGATACCTGAAACTTGTGATGGACCATGTCTGTGCTTTTTCCATTTTTCTAGCTAGTGACATAATTAACTTGGGAAATGACCAAATCACCCATCCCAAGTTCTTGCTGATGCAAAGGATAAAAATGTCTCACATTGCATCTACAATGAGACAATTATATGGAAAGAAAAGACTTAGGGCTTGTTCATTTGTACTAAAGTCTAACATCTGAATACATGTGAAATTGTAATAATTATTTTTTAAAAGTGTATTGGTGTTGTTGAGTTTTTCTTGATTTTAAATTCTGAATGTAAAGAATGTTATTTTGAAATCTGAATGCTAAATTTTGAAAAATGATAATTAACCGTTTTGACTCTATATATGAAAAAGTTTGTTTAACTATTAAACAAACTAATTAATAATTAATTAAATGAGTACAAAATAATTAATAGAAAGTGGAACTAATAAAAGTTATAAATTATTAATAATAATTGTGTATAATTAACAATTATTCATAACTAATTAATAATTCTATTAATTAATTAAAATAATCAATTATTTAATAATAGAATAATTAATAAAATAATCATTACTAGATGATTAAATAATTAAATAAGTATTGAATAATATACATATAATTAGTAAAATAATAATAATTTCTAAATATTACTTCATTAATTATTATATATTTAGATAAATATATGATCAGTATTAACAATTTAAATAATAAGTTCTAGAAACTACTCGTTAACAATATGTATTATTATTATATAAGGACATCATTGCATACGTAAAAGGATTAAACTTTTAGGCGTATTTTCGAAAAATAAAAGTGAACATTATTGTTAATGTACATGATGTATTAACATACATTAAGACTGAAGGTAAAATGAGAACCAAAGGCTAAGCAATTAGCAATTATAGTAGATGCTTGTGGCCCATCGTTCCATCTTTCTGCATTTGGTAAACACTGTATGAAATTGTATGATGTAAATGAAAAATGTAACAACTAGTACTTTTTCTTTCTATTCTCTGGTAAACACTGTAATTGTAATTGCATCTTCATGCGTTTATGATGATGTCCAACCAAAATAAATACAATACCGGTTGATTGGAATGGGTTTGTCCCGGTTCCCTTAGGATGACTGCCGGATGAGTGCAGTACTCATCTTATGGCTGGTCCTACACCTACACCCTAACTCAAATTATACATGATGCGACCGCGACGGGATTTTTCTGCCTTTTCTCAGCCCATCCCATCTCTACTACTACTAGTATGCCTATAAATCTACGATGCTTAGTTATATATATATATATATATATAATTAATGGAGTCTTAGGTATCAATTTACAGAAAATAAAAGAGAAAACATTTAGGCCGAAGTTTTTTTTTTCGTACAAAATGAACTAAGACTCAGTATAATCCATGCTCTGTGTTTTTGTTCATAATTAGAAAAAACAAAGGATAATGGTTCGGACAAGATGTACAAAGACAACAGGATGAACAAATGTTGCATCAAAAGTCCTTGCGGTGGTGGGGTTCCTACTTCCAAGAACCAACTATACTCTATTTGGTGTTACATGTAAATTGTATGTGGAAAATCTATTCAATTCACAATATTGATAACAAAATATGCATTTACATTTATATAATAATAACAACAATAATAATAATAATAATAATAATAATAATAGAGAGAAAGAAAGTTGATCCTGTAGGTGAGAATCTAATTGAAATTATTCTACCCAAGGAGACAATAACTTAAATCAGAATTGAGTGTTGGTGGAAACCAAGAGAAATAAAAGAATTTTAAATCTAAGAAAATTTATATAAAATCTCATTCAGAGAATGTTCATTGATTCTCTAGATCAAACAAAGACTATCATCCTCGTTATTCTTAAATTAGTTGGTGGGGGTGGGGGGTTGGTCTCATGCAGCATCAGAATTAACACTAGTTTCATACAAACATTTTATAAGTACAAAAATATCTCCTTAAATATTGCAGTTCAAACCATCATAACCACCAAGTTCCAGGAGTATCAGTTCATCACGTAACATGAACAACCCCTCTTCATGGTAACCTCTGCAACAGTACTCTTAATCCAATAACCTCAAGCTACAAAGCTGGTTGTCTTTCCCTCTATTCCACATTCATGTGAAGCTATATCTTTTAATCCTAGAAAATTTCCTGTACCAATTTAATAGAAGATATACATTTAAATAAGTTGCATAAAAGATTCAAAGCAAAGGTTTTTTTTTTTTCCTTTTTCCGGTAAAATGGGTTTACACAGACCCTAATGGTACCACCCATCCCCACAACCTCGACGGAAATGGGATTTGATCTCCACTGCAACTAACAAGAGATTTCGCTTGCCAGAGAACCAGAACTGTTGCGAGGATGCCCATATCAAATGATTAATATCTTTGAACCCACAATTTCTACTTCAGCAACAACATTTTTGAAACAATGGGAATTATTTTTCACTTCATCGCACCCCATCAACTAGATTAAATATCCTCGTTTCTGACTTTCCATGCGAATTCGAAGAAAGAATGAAAGATATCTTTTGATATTCTTCTTTTGCAACCTACTTCTCCCAACAAGTCTTTGTTTATTTTTCTCTGAAGGCATCTTCTGTTTCTATTCGTTGCCTTTACTAGAGTAAGATTTTAACTTGAGTTGGCATTTAGGATCTCTAACTTTCGACTGGAAAATTTAGTTAATGAAATTAAGGAATTTCCATTGTCTTTTTATTTTTCTCTTTCTGGTAATGTAAAAGTATCTTAAAAATTGAAACCCAGTTAAGTTCTTGAGTATTTGGTGACCTTTGCTTGTGGGTGAGAAATTGCAATTTGTAACTTGAGTGGGCAAACAAATACAAAATGAAAGAGCTAAATATTTGAGGCAGCAGCCCAAGGACTAGTTCACTTCTTTCTGAGACAGCTAGTAACACCATAACCAACCATGCATCATTACACATGAAAGATAGAAGTAAACAGTACAAGAGAGCACACCAAAAGCCTGAACTCATCAATAATTCAAATAGTCGTCGTTTGTTCCAAAAACCTTCTTGAGTTGTTCATGGAACCCAAACTCAATGTGCACATGAGAACACAAAACTCTTTTTGATTCAGTGCTCCATCACCATCCAAATCTCCTTCTTTTAACATACAGAAGAGTTCCTCGTCTCCCAAGTCTTGCACTCCCAAAAGCCAGGTGTTTCGCTTCAGGCTTTCGAACGTGATGAGACCCTTTGCATGATCCATCAACAGACAGAACCCATAACACAGCTCTGCAATAAATCGATCAGCGCCCATGCTCTCTACCATTGACGGAAAGTAATCTTCAAACATGATGTCATTCTCTTGAGCCATTGCTTGGATAACTGGAAAAGAAGACTAGGAGAGGGAGGTGGAGAAAGAGAAAAAGAGTATGAAACAAGGGAAGAGATAAGCAGCAGGAGAGAGAGAGAGAGAGAGAGAGAGAGAGAGATGTATTATTGTAGGATAATCGATCGGTCTTGGTGCCAACGGAATTGACGATAAGAGGTTTTTATAACAGCGTTACGGGCATCCTAGTCGGAAAATTTGTGGCCCTTGCGTCGGGAGGTTCTCCTTCGTGGAAGCTGCGTGGGAACCAAACTATCTAATCCCCAAGTACGTCCCATCAACCTCATAAAACAAGGCCTCTAATGTCATTGTGGTCTCATGCTTTTGGTATATCACCTGCTACCTTATTATCGCTTAATACCCTTACTGTATTATAGAAGAATTCATATAATCTTAGTGCTAAAATCCATTCTTGGTAAGTGGTAACAACATTCATCATGTGTGAGGATGGGATGAAGATGAAGATGAATTGAGCTCCCTTGATTTTAATTCCTTCATGTGCTTTGTACCGCACGCTCCAGTCCTTGCTACTCTTTTGAATTCCCCCATCTGATTTCATTAGGTGTTTTTTTGTTATATATTATCGTTATGTGATTTCATTAGATTTGTGCACATACACGTACAGCTCAACCTTCTTTTAGGAATTAGGACCTACAGTTTCACCCCTAAAAAAAGTGGAAACAAAGTTAGATCCTTCAAGATTAAAGTTGACTTATTGCATTGAATTTTTACACCTGGACGGAAACACATAGTGGGCCCACGAAAAGACCCAATACAGGACAGCATTGGGCGTGTCCTTTATGGCCCCACCTTGTTTGTAGGGTAGATATAAAACCAAAAGTTGCTAAACTCCTCAGCATTTCTCTAAATTATATGTGTGTATGAAAAAAAGTAAAATAATAGGATGATCACGTTGACCTTTTTGGTCGTTTGTCTCAATCTTACGGCCCATTGATAATGGTGAATGAGTACGGTAGGGCTCGTCGATCATGCGGGTGGAGGTCACATCTCACAAGCCGTGTACAAGATGCTAGCCTTCCGGTTCCGGCTTTATATAAGTCTCCATAAATGCATTTGATAAGAATGTAATGCTTTCTGATTCAGTTTTGTGGGTATATGTTTTTGTACTGACAAAAATGAATGTAAATTTGCTTTTTACTAATTATTTTTGTATTTAAAATGAGAGGAAAGAGCCAAATGGAAATAAGCTTCATACTCTAATTTAGTTAATGTAAAATAAGTTGATTCCAGCCTAGCGATTCGTATTAATTAAATCCATACACTGTAAACTTACGAATACAAAACCAAATCAGAACTAGCTTACGTCTTCCTATTTCAGTAAATTTCCATTCGCAGGAGTACTGAGTACACTCATTTTACTTTTATGCACTCTTACCGAACCCAACAAACTTACAACTACTATTTATCTTTCTACCTCTTAAATTTATAAATCCATACCCAACATTGAACGCATGCGAGAGTCAAATACGAATCACTTATACTAATTTTTTTTTCTCCAGCTATATTGTGCATCGTAGAGGTAGAAGCCTACAGTCAAACAGTACGATGGTATTGAAGGGTATATGTCGACCGCTGCTGAGATACATACAGATTCAGTGGCCCATACTGGCCCATGGGAATCAGCAAGATGGCTCATGGCTCGTCCATATCATAGAATTGGTTTCACTAAAGACTGCTCAATGGTACAATGCACGGTCCGCGTTCTGGACGCGTGGCAGCTGCAGGGACTACTACATATTGACAATAAGGAGGACAACCAACCATCTGTGGCTGTGGGCTGTGGCTTGGATCCGTAAAAACGGCCCATGAACTGACCATATAGTACAGCCTGCGGGGCCCCCACACAGCAGGTCAGCCACTCCAAAATCCAAATTCATTCATGTGCGGTGCCCGGCCGAATCCTTGTATATATTGACCCATGTATACGAAGCTGACTTGGTTTGTCATGATTGGCCCAGGTCCCCAGTGGTAGTATTTCCATGAATAGATATAACTAGAAAGAAATTGGAAGTGTATAATCGAAAGACCGACACCCATCATTAGATGGATGGGGTGATGGGTCTTATCTTAGAAAGTGTCCAGCAAAACGTGTTATCAAGGAATTTCAGCTTTTTTTCTCCTTAATAAGTTACTTTTAGAGCTTATACAACTCATTGAACATTAATAAATTCCACCAACGACAGTGGTAACATGACAGAATAAGGCAGTGTCTCTGGCAATTGTTGTGATTCAATTTTCTGCAATTCCTGAACGCACCACGTTATTAGCAAAATTGCATTAAAACACGATTGTTTCGAGTTTTGTTGGATTCTTGTAGTTGTCATATAGTTGGTTATTTCGTTAAAAAAAAAAAAAAAATCATTTGAATCAAAAGATTGAGTCCGCGACAGCAAACGAAGAATTAATTCACACACTTCTACCGAATGGTAAAGGGACGGTACCTGCCGCCCCAGATAGGACCCAAGATTGTTTCCGAGCTTTTGGCTGAAAAAAGAAAAGACAAAGTGGAATAGATGTCTGATTTGAGGAGGGATAAGCTGAACTGCACTTTATGGCTGTGTTAGGGGCCTGGGGCTGTCTAACCAATAATAACGCTCCAACAACAGAGAGGGATTGAATGGTTGTGAGGGGCCGGCATATATAATTTACGAGTGATGTGGAGTATTATTATTGGTTAAACCATGATTTTTAAATCAGACCGAACCAGAAAATCCGGGAATCGGTTTGGTGATTGATTCCATTTTATATCAGAACTGTTATTTCGTCAAAAACTGTTAATTTTGTTAGTAAATCATTGATTCAGATGGTTGAACCGTCCAACAATTTAGTTATTTTTATTATTTTTTTAACTTTTTATTAAAACAAACCATTTAATTGATTCAAATAACCGGACCATTTAACTTGGAAACCGGACTCCTAACAGATTCATTGTCTGATTCGGTTTTTAAAAACTTTGGGTTAAACAGTTCCTTACCGCAAGAAACAAGGTGAAGGTGACCAGGCGAACTGGCGAAATCAATTTCATTTGAATTTTTACTCTCTCTGTCATTTTGCTCACTCGATACTCGCTAGTACATGAATATGCAAATGCAAGTGGAGAGCGGGACCACGCATGAATTGGTGGTATGTAAATAAACCAGAGAGTGCGCGCTACGGCGGTGGCTCCCTCTTAGGAATAATTGTGGAGCCCCCACCCCACCCCCACCGTGATTGTCAACCTTTGTGTGACAAACTTTCAATAATTCCATTCAACTCAGACTATTTGTCTCCGGAGACGTCAGAGGTGCGGTCTCGCATAATTTCTCAGCTATATAATCAACCTCAATACGTGAACATACATAGCCCTAGCTTTTGAAAACTCTTTGTAAAATGATTTTTCATAAGCATAGCCCTAGCTTTTTAAAATTGATCTTTTAAGATTGTATTTGGTTTGACAAAAGAAAGGTAAGGACTGCTGCGCACCTTACACCAACTTGATCACAGCTACATCACATTCTGTATTGAAAACATCTCCCACTAAATGATAAATATAGATATTCTAGTATGGTGAAGGCATACTGTGAGATCGATGTGAGATGGCAGATCCGGACTCAAGAAAATATATACGAATTACACCAAACACAACCTAAAGATCAAGACCATTTGATGGCACGCGCTTTTGAGATAGATCTTAGAAAAAAGCAAGATAGAAAGTACATTTGGTAAGTTTTGTTTAAAAACAAAATGATTATTATATGGTGCATGGGCCCACAAACGCATTTATTGCTTTTTATCAATCATTATATAAATCGATGTTACTATTGTTTCATAAATTATAAATATATAATACTAAGTTTTTCAACATTTGTTCTAATTTTTCAATTATATGGTATGTATTACTTTTGAGTAATGTACTTTACATGCTTTATAATTATTTTCACCTATTAATTATAAACAAATTTTAAAACATTAGCATTTTATATAAAATTGTTGCAATGCATGACACATGTGCTAGATGTTGCACATGTACAAGGAAGCTAACGAGGGTTTTTGAATAATCGAAAACCAGGAAAGCTTCATTTGATTTCAAAGCTTTTAGTTTTAGATCTTTTATTCTTTTAAGTAAATGGAGTGTTTTGGTCTTTCAATCTATCAGTTACCAAATAGAACTATACTTATTGAACACCCCTTAATAACGTTTCATATGCAACCTATACAGGTATCTAGGTAGAAGTTAGAATTCCCATTGATGAGCACCTGAAAAAACTGTCACAAATTCCTTATATATAGGATGGCAATTTTTTTCATTTTTCCATTCCATGAGATCCTCACTAATATATAAGTATATATATATATGCATACATTATATATATACTTATGTACATATATATCTATATATTAATATTTTTAAAAATATGGTTTTGAATATATTTGAATGTTTTTTAATTGAATTCTAAATTTTAATTATTTTATTTTTATTTTTTTAAATAAAATAAAAAATAAAAACAAAATGGCTAATATTATAAAAAAATCATGAAGAATGGGGATTCCTGTGGAGACGATAATCTTATTCCCATTAGCGAGGATTTTCGTAGAAACAGGGATGGGGAGAGGCTCCCCGTTGCCATTCCTACTTGTATGAAAACTCAAAAGTACATTTACACTGAAAACTAGCACCATGGCAACAGTGTTTTGACTATAAATGGTAGTTTATCTTCGAGTGCAAATGCAACAGTGCTAATAAGCTTATTGGGTTCGGATCTGTTATCCAGGAACTGTTCCCATATATCTCTACCCACGAGACATAACGGCTGCGTATTGAAAATATCTTTCTTGTCATTTGTTGGTAGGGGCGGAGCTACAATTTTATGCTAGGGGTCAAATAGTCATGAACATAGATTAGGGGGGCTAAAAGTTAATAAAATAAGGGTGAATGAATAAAGTATAAATGAATCATTAATAGGGATTGTGAAGATTTTCAAAAC